GATGTTACTTACTAACTTGATAAGCTTATTCATGTTCCGATACCATCATTTACAAAACTTGCCACATTCATTTACGAATTTTTTATGGCAAATAGCCAAATTCACCAATAGTAATACAGTACCCGAAACTCGTCGAAACTTCATATGCATTGCCATTGAACTAATTATACTAAGCACTCACTCTCAGTGAAAGGAGTGGATGTTCGGAATAATCTTGATGTTAGCTTGACAAAAATAACATCACTACCAATCTTTAAAAAAAATCGAAAATACATAATTGACATTGTCAATACAATCTAGTGAACTTATATTTTAAACAAGGAAGTCTAATTCATATTCATGTAATTAACAGATTATGTCTTTATAGCTCTCCAAATTTTCTCCTTCTTATGTACTTTATTCTTACTAGTGAAAGCAATATTGTTTAATCTTCATATTCTTGTAAATACTTTTACTGGCACTGATTGACACAATATAAAACTTTGCACTGGACATTAAATTAGGGCCTTACCTTAAAAGCCTATGAAGGTTTCTTTAGACTCCTTGCCCTATTTAAAGTTGTAGCTTTAATACTTTTATGTAAATAATTACCATAATGATTGGGCGAAATAAATAAATTAATCTTCTAGGATAAAACAATCGTCACTCTGTAGAAAGCCGCCATCTTTGTTTTACGGCCTGTTCGCAGGCATACAGCCCTAATTAGTCGACCTGAGTGTTTAACGCACAAACTCGATAGCATAGTAGAGAGGTTAAGATACCCCGATTCCGGTTTACGGGTACGGGTGATATACACGTACCCGTACCCGTAAATCGGGGAATAACTTGTAACTTAAGAAATCCAAGATACTCCGGCGTGAGAAAACCGATCAAAGAATGGCAACTTTCGCTGTTGAGGTTCGTCGTAAATTGTTGAAAACTTTGACGAGCATATGTGCATTATTTATTGGGGTAAGATGCTGAAAATTTGTACTATTTAAACGGCCCAAAAATAGTAAACAGAAACCACCCGTACCCGTTTGTCATTTACGTGTAGACCCCGGTTTACCGCGGGGAAACGGGTAGAAATTACGGGTAAAATTGCTGACATCAGCAAAAATTGGTAAACAAAATGGCGATACTCGTACCCGTAAACCGGAACCGGGGTATCTTAACCTCTCTAATATCTCTGGTATCTAGCGCTCCGCGCAGATACAAAAATGAATACAAATTTACGTTCGAATATTCCATCTACAAAAATGTACTATTAGTCCTATCGAACGAGAAGCTCCAAAATGTAGATATTTACCCATGTAGTGTCGAGTGTAGAACAGTAATAGATATTTTTACTTACGATTCATCATCGCCATTACCATCATCGTTGTCGTCATCATCATTTTCTGGATTCATGAATGAATCTGCCCTGCAAAAATGAAAATACTTTAACTGTTAAAACCATAGATATATCTTACATACACTAGATAGTGCATCTAATTATTCTACAATTCAAAAATTGAAGCCGTGATTGCAGACTCAGGATATTCCCATGAAATGAGAAGATTCGTATGTTTTCTATTTCTTAAACAGGGAACTTAAACATTAAGTTAAACCTATTCCAAATACATTTTTAAACTATTGAAATGATGAAAGTTATTGTTGTTTTTAAGCGTTTATTAGCGAGTGGGAACGACCGACATGGCCGCCATCTATTCAAATGGGGGTAACCGCTGGAATATTCTTGGCTTCAATTTTACTAAAAGAAATGCGCTATCTAGTGTATATAAGATGTCTATGGTTAAAACGATCATTTTTAATATTTAATTAAATTACACTGGATATTATACATATATGTGTTTTCATATACTATCTCTAAACTGCAGAGGTTCAGCAAGCAGAGCCATCCTTTATTTGTCCAGTGTTACAACAGGAGGAAACCTAAACTAAACTAACTTTATTTATACTGGGTAATCTATAATTTCTGAACTGTTCTTCCTGGAAGCCCATGCAGTAGGCCTAATAAGCCTCCCCCCAACTCAATATCTTAAGTTGTATTAAATTGAAAATTTCTAAATTAAAAATAAGGAAAATTTCTAATAAAAGTAAGGAGTTGCGCATCATTTTCAGTGTCACTATAGGCATCTTCCAAAACTGTTTCTCTGAAATCATCTGCAGTTTCTTCAGTGTGTCCAACACCAAGAAACACAGCACAGATTGCGACCAGCAAGGCTAGAATTGTCCAACTCTTCATCGTGATGGCTAACTCGATTCCCTCTGCTTAGCTTGGCTGTTTTCTCGCGCTTTTATGCGTACCGAAGGTGCGAGGTAGCCAAAAAAGAGATAAAAGATTTTCTTGGTTTAGCCTGGATTGCGGAAAAGTGTCAAGATAAAAATAATTACGCTGGCCCATCCTTTCGAATCGGAAATAAAGTTAAGTGTTTGTTTCTGTCTCAGAAAGTCTAGAAAAAGACTTATTCCAATTTTTATCCACTTGAATTTAAATCTCTTTCGGCAAGGTTTGCTAAACTTAGCATTCTTTGATGTCCAGAATCATTACATCAATCTAATTCTATACAAACAAACTATATGTATGCAAATAAAAACAATCTCTATATGTAAAAAAGAACTGAACACAACCAACTTTAAGCTAGTCGTTTCTTCTCGTTTGTCAGCCATGGGCCATGTATGCTCCCAACATAGTTATATTCTCTTGAGAGTTCGTACAACTTACTTGCTTAAAAGATATAGTTAAGTTCTCAATATATATATATATATATATATATATAGATGAATGCAGAATCAGATAATTGCAGAAATGGAACCTCGCTCACGGAGATGAAAGCTGATCGATGCGTGAAAAGCACATTTTAATTTAAACTTTTTAAACATTAAGATTACATAACAAATAACAATGACATATATAACATTATAAATTATGCAGGGAATCATTCACAACAGCTTTTGGCCAATTACTGTCAATCCAAAATAACAAAACGTACGATTTATAAATATACAGGTACTGTTACACAAACATATATATTCATATACATCATATATACACATTTAAAAACAACATGCAATATAGGTTTGGTTTGGTTCCGATAACATTTTATGCACAAACAATGCATTTAATTTTATGCAATTACATGTTGCACCATAGGAAAGGACATATAATTTGGGCATTTAGTAATATTAATAAATTTTAAAATATTTTTACGTGCCATAAATATATCATGTGCGTGCACAAGGAACATTTGTTGTTGCAGAAGGGAACCTGGCGTGGGACAGCAAGTCACAGTACATACATTTTCTAGACGGAAAACCGCACGGCGTAATCAAACTGATTAACTAGAGGACACTCAAATGCTGCGCCAGCGAATTAAGTCAATTCATTAATTCAGTTAAGTATCAAGCATAAATTATACATGCAATGGGCAAATTCCATCATTCAAATTCACTCTGTGACCTCTGTGCCTAGCCGTTTATGAATGCTGACTCGAATCCTTAATACCGTGACAAAACAGCGAGAGGTACATGAATCCATATCCCGTCTTCGTTCTTCTGCCTTTGGCAAAATTCGTCGGGAGTACTTTGTTCCGCATGAACGAAGGCAGGAGAAAAAGGAACTTGGCATTGACTGCATGGGTTTGATTGCATGTCGAAAACATTTTTGCATATCGAAAATTTTTTTCTTGAAACATCACGCTTATTAATTTTTATACAAAGATAATTCTAGATAAGTCTGGATCTAGTCGCTATTGCTAATGTTATATTTGCCCTAATGAAGATCGGTGCCAGTTACGTCACGCCCGGGTGTTATTGTTGATATTCCATTATGCTAACAAGGCAAAAGGGTTTCTCACTTCTTATGCATCGACACTTGCCAATATAGGCCTATGTATACCCATACCTATAATGTTGGCACAATATATCATGCATGCAGACAATGTTGAAGTATTTAATTTTCAAATCTTTTCGATAAAATTATAACATCAATTTATCAAATTGAAAAACAGGTGCATGCATCGTATAAGCAAGTCATGCAATTCCCGACCCTAGTCTCAAAATTTTCCCGATCGGCGCAAACCATGCGTGATGGCGCCTCGTGGGCCCCCCAAAGCAAAATCTCACGGATGTTTTTTTCCCAAAGTTGGCAACTATGTTATATGATGCAGTATATGGCAAACTGGTTGAGTTTTTTAAACAATTGTTGTAAATAGGTAAGAATTTTCTCACTTCTGTGAACCGCACGGCCCTTTGAAAACCAAATAACTGCATGAAATTCTAATTACATTGCATAATGTTCTATAGACGCAAAAATCCCACCAATTAGCCATTCCGAAGTTGATGAGTGGACTGGGGACGAGTGTTAAAAAGTGCCCAAATTAAGAAATGAACTAAATCACTAAAAAGACCACCTCAAAATTAGTAAGTATACAAAGTTTGAAGACATTTACATGAATATCCTTCGAATAATAAGCTTTCGAAAATTATGAAATTACTGATTAAAAGATTGTTTTTGGGACGCGCGTCCCAAAATCAAAAATTGCAATACATTTCATAGTAAATATCGGATTTTCGAAAGCTTATTATTCGAAGGATATTTATGAAAGTTGTCAAGAATATTTGGAACAACTTTTTAACAGTTGTAACAACCTTGTTGATGTTATCAGACTTGTCGCAAAGTTGTTTCGACAAGTCTGATACAGTCATAAAACAACAATATTGTTACAACCTTCTGTCGACAACCTTGTATAACATTCTTGTTATATCATGACTGTATGAAGCTTGTTAGAATAACCTTGTAACAGTTTGATAATATACCATCAAGCTTATTACAAGTTGTTAACAGCTTGTTCCAAACTTGTTCCAACAACTATAGAAACTTGTCGACAGCTTGTGAACAGAATTGTGGCAATGTATTTGCAGACCTGTAACAACTTGTGCGTTTTTACATATGTATAATGTGTATTGTTATGCCTAAAAGGTAAACTGGACGAGGGCTGTAATTATTTTAATGTATCGATCGAACTTTCGAGCTATTTCATCTAGGAGCTTGACCTTGCACTTGGCTCTTTTTTCAATAATCATGCATGTAGCGTATATTGTATAGTATTTCCTTTTTGAAGATATTTCGTTATCTTGATACTATGCCAATAAACCCGGCACCACAAGTCCCAAAACAAACTCCTTGACCTTGTATTGTAGGCTTGCGCATGGTAAAAATAAAAATATAATAATTGCTTCCTTTTTGTGGAAAACATAATTGCCATTGGCAAAGCTTCCCGCTATTTATAAGACCGGATCGTCATTACTGCAAATACTAAAAATCTAGTACTATAATAGTAAAGATTTACGGATTGTTTCCACTTTCTATACTGTACGAGACAATACAACAGATTTACTGTATATATGATTGGCTGCGTGTTGTTTTTAACAAACCACTATTTTTTCTTTCAATTCTCATGCACCGAGATTTAACAACTAGTCGGCCGCACTTCTTTATAACCACTTCAAACTGCTAAAAGCTCTTAAGATTTGTGGTTTGTCTTTTTTCTATACATAAACTGTGTTGCTATATAATATCTGGTTTACAACACTCGCAATTTTATATTTTTGCTTGCTGCGGAAACCAAATTACACCCAAAGACGAGAAGTTGTGTGTGTTTTTACAACCCGGTAAATCCAAATATCTATTTCACGTGCTATACTATGGTTTAAAATGTCGTAATTTTGTCAAGAATAATATGTGGGTTACAGGTATAAACTATTAACTATTATAAACTGACCGTTGACTCTATTTTTACGACCATATATGGAAACAATGCAGGCTTTAGTGTCCATGATATAGGCTCTTTGTGTACTAAATGTTTATATACTGTAATCTGTACACGTCAAAACAATTAATGATTGACAAGATCGCAAGGAAAACAGTACCCTGGGTGCACGGCCTCTTGTGATAAAAGTGAGGACACGATGAGGAGGCTCTGGTCACACGAGCATCCAGCCTCACTTTGGTGAGTTCAATATTTGAACTCTGTTTGTGATTGGTCTAAATTTACGTGACTCATCTCATTAGCCATTCTGAAGTTGATGACTGGACTGGGGACGAGTGTTAAAAAGTGCCCAAATTAACAGCTGGGCATTTTGTACGGAGCATGCGCGAAAAAATCAATATGGCGACATATTTATAGGAGTGCTTCGTGGATTTATCTGGTTTTAAAGCTGATAAAACAACATTTCAATGAATAAAAACTGTGTAATATTTAGTGGAAAACATTAAGCTATGCAGTCCAAAGGTTTTAAATTAAAAATAAGTACTTTTGCTTTATTTTATTGCTTTTTATGCTTTCAAAATAGGCAAGCTCATTTTTTTTGAAAGAATCTAAACTAATATTTTATCCATCATTTGTTTAATCTGAACAGAAATAGATAGAACACTTGGCTACATAAGTTATAAAGGGAATTGGTAGCTGATCTGAAAGATTTCAGTATTCCTGGTACCCATTTTAGCAAAGAATGACTGTAATTTTAAAAATTAAATATGCATATCAAAAACAATAGTTTTATTAGAACAACACATAATAAGTTGTTATTTTCTATTTTTACAAAAACAAGTTTGAAAACAGAATCTAGTCGTCCAGTTTGATGTCATATTCCATTTATTTGGATATTTGAATAAAGGAATGTGAAATAATAATTGAAACTTGTCCAAAATTTGATACCAACACTCAAGTGAACAGATACTATCACCTAAAAATAAAAGAAAACAGAACTAAATTTGTCATATAATGCTATGAAAAAGTCTTAGATACTACAGGCATATAGTGAGCACAATGCTTTAACAAACTCACTAAAATAAGTTAAGTTATGCTATGATAAGAAGATGGCAATATATGACAACATCAAATGTTACCATCTTCAGTGTCCAAAAACAGTGCCGCGCGCATTTTTCCCAGCATACCCACTAACTTTTCCATGAAGGTTGACCAATAAGGATAGTTTTAAGCCATATTTCGGAGAGAGGCAATGGTAAAAATTTTAAGATATTTTTATTTATATGCCATATCACCACAGAATTTCACAAAACAAGCATGCCTATATTCAGGATTGCCGTTAGACTCTTAAAACTGAACAAATCAATACGGCACTTCCTATCTCATAACAACCAATACTTGAACATATTCAAAAGCATTTTTGCAGCAATTTTTACTTTATAACAAACCAATACAGGAGCAATTTCATAAGCATGTGACAACATGACATTTTCACTTCACAAGTGGATTTGTCAATTACAACATCTAGCACATTTTTCCCATGAATAGCTCAGGTTTTAATAAAACAAAGTATGATTTAACTTTCATAAAATGTATTTTTTAACTAAAGGCAACGGCCAGTTTTTACGAAATTGCAAGAGGAATATGTGTCATTTTCATCAAAATATGTATTTTAAGACACTTATTATTCCAGATGAGGAAGGACAAACAAATAATTGAACATACCTATGGAACAACAACAACTCAGCTTCTATCAAGAGTAAAATATGAACACTTCCTTGTTTCCATACTGCTGTACCCTGCTTCTGAAACTCTGACAATGAGTGAAACATTTCCACTTGTCGCCCATTTGTAAATAAAAATTCTTCGCAAGTTTTCATGCGATTAAGTCGTTATATCGTTGCGTACAAGCACTACAACTTAATCTTTCAAGAAACACTTTATTTTCCATGAACAAACCAGTAAAAGATGACAAAAAATCCTCTCACAATGCATATTTTCAGCGTTCGAAGAATCAAAATGTTTGTTAAAGAAATGCGCCCGCAATATTTAGACAGCGACAACAGAATGCCCAGCTGTTTTCACAGGATAGTTCCAAGGGATACAAATGAGTGGGTGGCATTTCCAAGAAATTCTTTCCTGCTCGAAGTCTTACTGCTCTCACCACGCCGTCACGTCCCTTGAAAAGCTCATCTAGAATTCCCAATTGCCATTTTGCTCTCGATTCTTCTCGTCCGACTTTATTATAACCACATCTCCGATCTTTAATTTCACTGACTTTGTACCGTGAGACTGGTTATGTCTCTCACTGGTTATGTCTCTCACGATGAATCCTTTCAGGCCCCTGATGAACTCATCCGTTGATAAGCTAGCAAGTAGGTCGATGTAGACTGCTCTTCTCAAACTGCAGGCGTATAACACGATGTACGATTTTCCTACGGACTTGGGACTTGTTTCGTTTCTTGTACTTCAATGGCCCCGCAAAGTCTACTCCTAATGTTTGGAATGGGCGACTTCCTTCTGTTCTGTCACGTGGGAGCACACCAGATGAGGGTTGTTCCAGGGCTTTTGCTTGGAATCTCCGGCAACCATAGCATCCTTTGATCGCTTTCCGAACAAGTCTGCGAAGTCTCGGAATCCAGTACTTCTCTCGGATGTGAGCCATGGTCAAGCCCACTACCCCATGGAGGGTGCGCATGTGGGCTTGCTCTACCAACTTAACTGTGAAAGGATCTGTGTCGGGCAGAAACACGGGATAGCTTCCTTGAATTCGTCCTCGACAGACCAACCGCACCGAATTCGTTTGGTTGTAGATTCAGGGTTAACCGCTCTTCTTCGTACTCGATCGTTAGTCGTAAGTGGACCTCGGAGTTTCTCCTTGTGTTGGCGGCAGTTGAAAGCAAATCTTGCTACCCATGCAGAGATTCTCAAGGCTTTCCATAGGTCATGTTTCTCGAGCACTTCGTCTAGCTTGTTAGTGTCCTCTAAGGATACTGCGAGTACTTGCTTGACGACCTTCGCTTCGGCATTGCTTTCTTTGGTCGGCGAAGGGGTGATATGTTCAGGCCAACTTTCAGGAGTGTCTAGCCATTCTGGACCATTCCACCAAAATTTCTTGTTCGCCACCGAACCACCTCTACTTCCTAGATCTGCTGGGTTATGCTCGGATGGTACGTGACGCCATTGAATTCGGGTGTTTGATTTTATGATCTGGATTCGATTTGCAAAAAATTGTTTATATTCTCCGCCGCCGTTGATCCAATGAAGTGCGACTGTGCTGTCGAGCCAGCCTTGTATTACAGTGATCGGAAATCCGTCCAAAGCTTTTTCCACGTTACTGACAAGGTTAGCAGCCATATGGTCAGACACCAGCTCCAGGCGAAGTATGGTGAGGCCTTGCTTTGACAATCTCGACTTTGCAGCCACTAGTCCTTGGCTAACACCTGATGGTTGACGGACGGACAATTGCGTACACAGCAGTTGGGACGCCTTGGCTACCTGCATCCCCAAAAGCATGCAGTTCTATTGAATCAATGTTCTCGCGGAACTTCACTAACAATCTCTCTGTCGTGACTTGGTTTGGTAGCTCTCGTTCCCAACGTACTAGTTTCTTCTTCACTTCACTATCGATCTCTACGTCCCATCCGATCTTCTTCTGACATATCTCACGGTAGATAAACTTTCCTTGAAGGGTTTGTGGTGACACTAGACCCAAAGGGTCATAGATTCTCGCAAGTTTCTGTAAATTTCCCCGTTTAGTTGATTTTGCTGACTCGGCGGGAATGGTAACACTGATGGTGTCAGAGGATTTGTTCCGCGGAAGTGCTAGTAAACTACAATGCTCCCAATTGTTGCTTTGTGTACGTCACTTCGTCCGCTGCGGTAATGAGTGATTCGTCTAGTTCCAGTTCATTCGAATGCCATTTATGCAATGTAAATGTTGCATCACTGAAAATCTTTTCTGCTTTCTCTTTCAGCTGCTTGGCTTGTTCGACCGTCGTTTTTCTGCTTATGTGATCGTCCACGTACATGCTTTTCCAACATATCAAACAATTATGCCAGGAGGATAAACCGGACATTTTAGCAGTTTCTGAAACATGGTTAAATCCGCAAATCACAAATGCCGAGGTTAAAATCGAAGGCTACGACTTGTATCGACCTGATCGCCCACACAAAGTCGGCGGAGGCGTTTGTGTCTACACCCGCCCAGACATAAAATGCCATCAAATTAAAAACATCTCCAGCATTTCAGACGACGGCCTCCATCAACTTTGGTTACGACTACAATATGAAAAAGCTAAAGTCATTTGTGATATGCGCAATATATAGACTGTCCCTTAAGCTGTTTCGAAAACTCGTTTAAACCTTCGTATACTGAGGCACTCTTAATGGGTCATCCGATTTTCGTGTTGGGAGATCTAAACTGTAACGTGTTGAACAACAGCCATGAAGGCAGAACTTTAAAAAAAACCTGAATTGAATTTGTAACAAATCATTAAATCACCGACCAGGATAACGGATAGTTCTAGATCGCTTGTAGACGTTATCCTAGTGTCTTCACCTACACTCGTAAAGACCAGTGGCGTTATGAACAAGTCAATAAGCGACCATCTCCCAGTATTCATGATCTTAAAACTCAAGCTCCCAAAACCACCAAGTTGTTCTGTCATTGCTAGAAGCTACCGAAATTATAATTCGTCTACATATGCGGCTGACTTGGCACAATTAACCGGTTACTTTTCGAATCTCCACAACATCTTTCCCGAAATTAACGACCACCTGGGTACTTTTAATAATGCCTTTTCTTCCATTCTGAACAACCATGCCCCCATAAAGGAAATTAGAATAAGAAATCGTTCCACACCCTTTGTCCTTCCAACCGCAGTGGTAAACAGTGGCCTCAAATCGTTCGTCGACGATAGTAAAATCTTTTTGTCCTTTTCAGTGCAGGATAAATCGGAAGCAAAGGCCAAACTAGAAGAAGGTCTAACTAGAATAACAAGCCGGTGTTGTACAAACTCACTTTTAACAAATCCAGAAAAGACAAAATTCATGTTATTCGGATCACCAGCTTTGTTAAAACCATTTACTGAAGAGTTCTCGCTGAGTTTTGTAGGCAAAACGCTATTCCCTGTTTTTTTCTGCCAAAGACTGGGGCGTCACGTTAGATGCATATATGAAATTCGATGAACATATCAGTCTGTTGGTTTCTAAATGCATGGCCAAGTTATGCCAAATCCGTAGGATTCGTCATCTCCTGGATCAGGAAACGTTGTGTTCAGTGGTTCAAGCATTGGTTTTGACAAGGTTGTTCTATTGTTCGTCCGTATGGGCAAACACAACAGCAAAAATGTAAAGAAACTCCAGTTAGTCCAAAATTTCGCAGCTCGTGTTATTTCGAACACACGAAAGTTTGACCACATTACACCCATCTTAAGAGAATTGAAATGGATGACGGTTGACCAAACACTTGTATACAAAGACATTGTACAAACATACAAGTGCATGAACGATCTTTCACCGCCGTACCTGAGCGAGAAATTCTACCTGCGAGATACCATCCACAATTATTCTACCAGGTCCAGTAAAGATCTAGAAATTCCAAAATCAAATACAAACTATGGCCAAAAAACTTTTCATTACCGCGCGACCAAACATTGGAACAGCCTGCCTGATTCAATCAAATCATTGAGAAATATCAAACACTTTAAATCTGAAGTAAAGAAATACATTTTAAATAATTGAACATTGTACCTATCTACCATTTTTAACCGCATGTATATAATAGCATATTTTAGTCTTTTTATTGTAATTGTATGCTGAAAAGCCCTTTCGGGAGCATGTAATTTTATAATAAATAATAATAAATAAATAATAATAATGTTTTAAATAGAATTTCGTTGTCGATAATAATTTGTTTCAAATCAGTTCACACAGGATTTTGTTAAATTTGTTAAGAATGCAACATATTTTTAGGCCGTAAACGTGAACGTTATATATTTAAACGCTGAACAAGTTAGGATGGTATAAGCTTCCGAAGTCTGTGACAATTACTTACCGGTACTGTAGTGTTGGAATGTGAATCCGCCGGGGTAAGCATACGAATTATCGCCATTCCAGCCATACACCAGCAGTCCAAAGTTACCATCACGCGAAGAATGATAGAAGGTAGCAAGTTTTGTTCCAGGCATACCAACCACTGTCCAAACATATTTTGTCCCCGAAATTTTAATCCAATTTAGATAACTCATTTTAACTCCATTTAGAAACAAACCGTTGGTTAAACGTTCCTCAATCGTAATTGTTGCAGAACTGTAAAAACCTGAAATATGACTACAAAGAACACGATAGTATGATTTAAACTGTTTAATCGAAGGAAGGACAATCATCGAAGTGTCCGCCTTTTTCGAGCCAATTGTTTCCCCCCTTATGTATTGTACCACTTGACAAGGTTTATTGCAGTTCACAAACGATGTAAGATTTTCGCCTAATATCAATTCAGTATAAGTGCCGGATAACAAAACTTTGATCCAGTATGCACTGTGGACAACCGTACTATTTTCAAAGGCAAAAATTCGGAAAATATCTCCTTGTTTTTTGTTCGTTGATCCGACCGTTGTTAAGATGTACTGTTTTCCCCATTGTGTGACAGGTAAAAGAAATGATTCTAATCTGTCATAACTTCCAGTGCCGCCAGGAATCCCCAAATCCACTCCACAGACAACAGATACTGGTTTAGAAGCGAATATCATTGTCCCCGATAAATCCGATTCACTAGTTACTTGCATGGACTGCAGTTTACCCAAGAAAACATGGATCGGGCCGGCGTGAGTATACGCGGTTCCACCAATTTCAATAACGGCATTCTTAATTGGTTGAATTAAAATGGTTGTTTCGTCATGTATTGACACTATACCAATTTTAGCTCTTGCAACGCTATTGTATGGTGTATATGATGCAACAACATATGTTACACCTAGTGCGTCAGTTGGTAGTGCTAGGTATCCATCACCACCTGTATAATAATTGAAACACTCGATCGAAATATTCATTGTTGACGAAACCTGAATACCATTATTTTGGATTCCTTGCATTCGCAGGGAGCGCGGCAGACCATACTCCAAGAAATCCCCTTCTTTCATATGGATGGCGACGTTCAACGGAACGCTCGAAGTTGATTGTGTGATAATTGTGACATTTGTATCGAAGTGAGCTGCAATTGCTATTCCAATGTAACCGTAGGTACGCAGGGAATATTGGGAAGTAAATCCTATGACAAACTTGTTCCCATAGTTAGTCAGTTTATCTAAACAAAAATCAAATTGAAAAAATTTAATTCTTGCAATAAATTATGTGGAATTTTAAGTAGTTTTTTTTGCATCGTTACGCCGAGTTTTGTTACTGCTTTCTGCAGCCTATTGATTGGCAAAATGACTACAAATTATTTTTGGGCATGACCAGCCTGAAGAAGGGCAGTGCCCGAATTCCCTAGAATATCATTTTCTAGCAATACCATTACTATAATTTTAAGTATCAAAGTGATATATTAGTAAATACCTAATTGGTTCAACTACAGGAAGCACACATAAAGTGATTCCTCCCTGATGTGTTGCTTTTAGGAGGCGAAGATATAGACAGGCTGACGAGAAATGGTGAGAAAGGAGAGCAGGGGATAGAGAACCAAAATTTGATAGCATAATTGTTGAATAGACCCATTGCACATGACGTAACAGCGCCGGTGACGATGCATCTGGAGGACAAATTAGCAATCTATGCGCAATATAACTTTTGTAAACAAACTGAAAATTTTGTAAAATTTATAATAAATTTGTATCAAAATGGTTAATTTTTGCGCTGTATGTGGTTGTTGTACCGGCTGAACAGATATTGTTAGGGAGCATCTGGAGGACACTCTAAGGATTTGTGACGTCAGTGCAATGGGTTTATAGCCAGTTTTGCGTGTTATATACATTTGCTAATTGCCACGTCGGTAAAGTTAGTCTAATTTTTCATTACGACACACTTTAAATAGGAAATAAAGAGTTACGTTACCCTAATTCTCTTTGGGCGAACGCTATAGGATAAATGGCGAGTAAATCGCCATTTGTTTATAGCAGTATCTGAAATTGTGTATTACGCGATATTGAACTGGAGACAAGGTAACTCGATGTGAGGGAGGTTTTAATGGTGAATGGATTTTTAAACGTCACGTTTTGTGAAACAAAAACTTTGATCTCACCTCTGAAAGTCCAATTGAAAGGTGCCATTTGATTTGTTTTGTCGTCTTCTAATACAAGGAAAAGATTTAAAAAATAATCTTAGCTTAGGTAACTCTAGTGAAGTAGTTTAGTACTCGCGCAATATAAACTGGCATGCACCCAATATATATATAAGAGACGCCGGAAATTCCGGCGTAGATGATGGCACGCCATTTAAATATCGGACCTCGTTAATTGCTCTTCAGCCTAGTCAGAATATATATATATATACATTTTGCTAGCATAACATGCACTTGCTTTATAAAATTCTGTGTGTTTTCATGAATTGAAATGACCAGTATTTCGAAAGCCGGCTCTACCGAGTAAAATTTTTAAGAGAGGTTTAAAGATGCATCTTCTCACAAAAAAATAAAGAATCGAAACGAACTGAACGAAGACATTCACATTTCTGATTTCTTGATTTCTGTTTATGAATCTAATATAAATTTAAAAATCGATACCAACAATTATTCATTCCGGGAATTCAACGTAATGAGAAATGACATCCCATTGTAGCTATATGCGCGTGTATGGGCTGAGCAAGTTGTTCTGAATGATGTCTTGCCATTTACAAATAGATTGCATGTACACTAAACTGCATTTCTCCAAAGATTTTATGATCACAGCAATCATTGATTGGCGTCTATTCCTATGCTCTTCCTATGCGGTCGATTTATCACTATGGACCAGCTTTGCGACATTTACGTGATCCGAGGGGTAAATTACTCTGAAAAAAGCGTACGGAGATTTTTGGGATTAGAAAATCCCGGCAATTTTTCTCGGGATTCTGGGATCTTTTTCCGTTGATATTTCGAAATATTTTCCCGTATTTTTTTTCCCCGAAATTTTTCCGAAATTTTTTGCGACATATAATCCGTCGAATATTATTTTAAAACGAAATAAATCAACGAATGGCATTTTTACGCCAATTCACGATTTAAATGTTTAAATTTGATGGGATTTCCCAATATTGGCCAAACATTGTACTGCATGCGCTTCGTGATGAAAACGTTAAACGCTTACATAAACGGGAACTGACAGACAATTCATTAACATTTTTAACGACAACGCGCTGTTGGGGATAGCCTCCCTTGTTTTGCCCAACAACTCACAAATTCAGAAATCAAGTTAAATTTTTGAAACTTTAATAAAGGTCACAGGTCACAATGACATCACTTCACTGCATCACAATCGATGTTAACTCTCCAGTAAACTGAAGTTCTAATGTGTCTAACAAACATACACAGGCTATACTTATAGTAAAATAATAAGAATTTATTGTGGTTATATGACGAAGTCTAAGTATGCGGTTATGTGACGAAGTTTCCTTGCGGGAAATATGCAAAAGTCATCGCGATTTGATCCTATAGTTTCGACTGCGCCCTGACAATGCGGTTGCATAGTGACGTTTGTTTATCTCTTGCGTTGGATACGAAACTTCTAGTTGCTGCCGCAGCGAGCGAACCTTCAGCGAGCGAGCAAGGCAGCACACCTAACTGATGTAGTTGGGAATATTTTAAATTTTGCCTTAGCGCATTGCATTGTGGTCAAATATTAGATAGATCCACAATGCTATGCGTGAATCAACTTTATCTGATATCTCTCAACTCTATGACTTTGCAAGGTTCATATCTTCGGTTCGGTGTATGCTATGAAGACAAAAATACTACCATTCGATTCAGTGAAACAAAATCTCCTAATTTCTACACTAGACGATAGTTTTAATCAAATGTCCACAATATTTATAGCTATTTATGACCTTTGAGAGGTCAAGCGGTATCATATTTCTTATATTCGAACAATGTAACTAGCCAAAGCCATACATTTCGCCGAACATAACTTCGGCCCCTTTGAACATATCTTTT